TGGTATTGTTCCTTTGACATGGCTACTTTTATTTCACACTGGAAACAGAAAGTTAAAGTCAGATCCAATTAGCAAAGATAACCCCCACAAACCATTCTTAAAACTTACAGAACACTAAGCAGAAAATAGGACTGAGTCACCCTGGTGGTCTCCCTGAAAAAAAATGGGTAGCTTACACTCTCCAACTTGGAAATAGTTGTAGACATTGGTATTATAAAAACATTTCAAGTTTCCTAATTTTCTGCCAGTAGAACCAATTCTGAAAAGAATTTTTGTTTCTTTGTAAGTCCTTCTGTTTTCCCTTTGAAATAGACCTCTGGGGTCTATTTATCTGACAAAAGGGAAATCAAATCTGAGTTACAAAAGTATGGTCAATATTTTTACTCAAATCTGTTTTGAAGCTCCCACTACATATTCATGTAGTGAAGAAGAGGCCAGCTACAATTTCAGTTTTTGTTACTAGATTGAATTTCAACAAGGTTTCTGAAAGGAATGTAACTTCCAACCTTCCCATTTCATTTCAGTTTTGCAAGCAGGCTAAGACAAATTGACATTTTGCTTAAAACAACAAAAGTACTTCCATATTAAACACACAAAGATCCAGCTACCAGAAAAACATAGTGCAGCCTGATACAGCACATCAGTGACACGGCATTCTGACCACACAGCTAGAAGATGTGGGAGCTTCACAATGAACAAATACACTGTGGCCCAGCCCTCTCTCCACAGGTGGTACAGTACAAAACCTCACCTAGCACCTATATAAATACTTCATAGGCTTAACACCTACATGTGAGAAACAATGCTCACAGGTATTTTCAGACTATTATCCCCAAACAGATGCAGCTGATAATGTAATTCCCTCTATTGTCATTGTTCAGATTCTCTAGGAAGAACTCCACCTACTTTACTAAGCCCAACATTGTGATATTTCTTTTCCATTATTTTCTTCACTGGTTCCTCCTCCTTGAAAGTAATGAAGCAAAATCCACGCCTCTTGTTAGTTTTGTTGTCCATGGGGAGCTCTATCGATTCAACCTGGTAGAAAACAGTGGTTTTATCTTTTATCCTGCCACTCATGCCACTTAAAAAGGTTTTTAATCGGTCATATTTGTTAAGTGAAATTATTTAGACTTCAATATGATAACACCCCTCCTTCATAAGGCTTTACATCACTAGAAACCATCAACATCGCAAGCATCACCTTCACTAGAAAAAGTGTTCATAATTTTCTAAAAGGTTTTTTTTCCTTTAACTCATAGTATCATTTGTCTATTCACGAACTCATAAAAAATATGGTGCACAAAGAATATTTCGGTTGTGCTGGATAAATAGTCTCAGTTTGACTTTCAGTTTTATCTCAGTTAAGGCTGAAGTAACTAGGTGTTTTAAACCCTGAGCAGACCTAAACCTTCAAGTTTCGTATGAAAAAGGTATAGCGTTGTGCAAATGCATAGTTCTATTCACACACAACACTACTAAAATCATGTGTTAAACAGGACAGATTTTACACCTGACTACAAACGCAGGGTAAAGTTCTCCTTACATATGGCACACAAGACTTCATCCTAGGCAAACAGTAATTAAAGCCCAAAGTCTGTAACGTAGTAAGATGACAGGTATTTGACAATTGCATTCCCTGACAACAGAGTTGTTATAACCTGATGCTGGCAACATCTGAGAACTAATAGCGGAAGCAGCAGCTGCACCAAGCTCATATAAGGCCAGCTTTTAAGGACTGCAGTGATATTTTGTTCATCTGCACCACCAAAAACTGGTGAGAGAGACAGAGACTACACAGCTGCATGGAATTTATGCAAACTGTCTGAATCTGTGCTACAGCAGATCAGCTGGAGTGGCTGAAGCAGCTCACCCAAGTGACCAAAGCAGCAAGCTCAAAAACATTGCCTCCCACACCTGTCCCAGTCAAGACTGTCAGACATCCCATGAATCAGCTCCTAACTCTGAATAATCCCATCTTTCCTTCCATTAACCCAGTTTATGCAACTCAAAAGCCTATGATTAATACCCTTACTGTTAAAATTCTGACTACTAAGACACATGGAGCTAAACTGGCCATTACAGTAGCATCCACGCAGATTGATTTTGGGGGCTGCTTTTTACTACTAATTTATGAAGACAAAACAAGTTGTACGAGTTGCAGTTTATTTCACCACATACCTCGCCAAAACCTCCAAAATATTCCCTTATTTTCTCCTCAGGCGTGTCTGGAGATAAGCCCCCAACAAAAATCTTCTTAACAGGTTCTTTCGTTTTCATGGCTTTAGCTCTTTTTGGATCAATGACCTTTCCATTCAGCTTGTGTTCCTTCTGGTCCATGACCTGTGAAAAATTAAAACAAAATCTTACTAGCAGTTCAAGCGAAATGTTTCACTGATGTTTTGAGCAAGGCCCCATTACTTTACACTTAGTTTTTGTTAATGCTATTGCTTCAATTTCAATACTTGGATTACAGCAATAATTTCTTGCACAAAACCAAACAGTTCCATGACTTTGATCACTACCCACTGACATCGACAGTTCTGACAAAGCCTTTCAAGAGTCACCTGGAGCCACGTACCACCCAAGGCAAGTACGAGTGTAACATTCCTCAGGAAGTACTCTACAATCCCGCCCTCAAACCTCATGAAGGAAAGAATCTATACTTTAGGTATCACCAAAGCTCAATGAAGGTAAAAACTTTTCAGTGTGCTGTGTCAACAGCATTTTAGAAAAGTTAATGGATAATCTTTGCTTGGATAAAAGCCCAAACCTATCAAAGCCACTGGCTCTACTCTAGGGGTTCATGTTGCAAGCGATGCAAAGACTTGGATTCATAAATTTTTGTAAATTACTGTTTCCACAGTAGTTGGCAGCAGACATTTATATGCAGTATTTTTAAAGTGCTCAGGTCCGGTGGCTTGCAGTACACTCCCCTGTAAGTACCCAAAGCCACAATTTGGGAATCACTGCTGGTCCTGGACACTGCATCACGAGTAAGACTATTCAGGAAAAAAAACATTTCAATTAGCATCTGAAATATATTGTACGCCAGAATCACCTTTAACAGATCACATACAAACTATGCATACAATCATCTGAGTGCTGTATCTTTGCTACCTAAAATCGAACATGTTGTTTCATTACATTAATAGTACCTTATCTACGCTCTCCGATTCTTTGAAGAGTACAAAGCCAAAGCCTCTCGATCGTCCAGTGATGGGATCTAACTTCAGAGTGCAGTCTACAACTTCACCAAATTTAGAGAAATAGTCCTTCAGATCTTTCTTTGTAGTGTCCCAGCTGAGACCGCCAATAAACATTTTCCTGTTAAGACAAGACGGTTAACCTGTTAACATGTCTTACACAAAATCCTGTACTGTCAAGCTTTATGAGCTCAGGTACCTAATGTAAAGAATAGCAGAATTTTATCAGTGACACTACACACACAGGCCTGAGCTTTTTGAGTACTTGCTTAAATGATCCTGGCCAGATTAGATACAGACTTACACATACACCAAAGTTTTGCAGCATCATCTGCTACAGTTGCTTACTCTGCTACCCCAACAAATTCCAATGAGCAACAAAAACATATTTTACTACTTCCATGCATCCCCACCACTACTGACCCACCAGAGGCTTAATTCCATTTTGTTATCCATGGAGCCTCGACGCAACTGCTTATGAAGCAAACACAGGCAGAACAGATTTATAAGGCAGTGCAGTCAAACAGAAGCATTTATGTACTAGTCTGTACAGGACACATGCCAATATTAGTAAACTAAAACAAAGAAAGAAAGTTTAGTCAAGCCCCCTACCCCAGAAAGCAGCAAAAAAGCAAAGGATTGAATAGTCAAAACTTATCTTTCCTCACAAAAATATAATATAAACACCAGGCACAATCCAATACAATCATGAGAACATCTTCTTACTATCTACAGGACCAGTGTTGCTGGGCAAACACGTACAGCAGGTAACTCTGAACACGACTTGTATTTTCAAAAGCACACTGGAAGCTTGGAATCTAATCATGATCGTCCCATCCCATTAGTAAGCCACAAAAAAAAAAAAAAAAAGAAAAAAATCAAGAACTGCTATGTCTCAAGAGGAAACACTTAATGAGTTGCATCAACTAAAAATCAAGCCAATATGTATACAAATGAAACATCGCTAGTTATTAGACATAGAGCTTATGCACCCATTTGAAAGAGGATTTGATTTGAGATGATCTAATACTGATAAAGAAGATTTTTACAGCAGGCTCAAAACAAAAAGTATGATCCATTACGATCTATAAAAACCTCTTTCTACAAAGCTTTGACCATTTTCACTACACTGACTTACTCCACAATCACACACAGAAAACCTGAAAAACCACTGTAGCACGTTTCCAACTCCTCCACTTTCAACACACAAATATTTCTGCCAATCATGTATAACCATGTTCTACTTCCACAAGTCAAACTCTTTCAAAAGCTGCGCATGTGAACTAACTCTGTTGAACTAGCTGTGGTCTTACAGCATTAACAACAGCATTCAGCTTCTGACAAACATATCCAACCTCCATAGAGGTGAGGGAGTTCAGGAGCTTCAGATGTTTCTATAAAAAGTCTTTAAGTCCACAAAAAAAGAGCACAGACTCCCCATCCCTTTATCCACTTTTCCCGTTAGTTCCAGATCTCTTTTCAACGAAGCACAAAAGCCTTTTCTAGTGTGACATCTTAGCGTCTTCAGGACCAACCGGGTCCACACTGGTAAACCAGCAGCCTCATACCAGTGCAGATAGCAATTCAAAGGATGCTTTGTGCTCTCATGTTCATCCACCATTAAAGCTCTTTTTTGTTTGTTTTGTGGGTTTTTTTCAGCACCAAAACAGAACACACAGAGAGGATGCAGCATTGTATTTCAGACCCATGGGGGATAGTGCTTCTCTAGCAGTTACTACTGAACATACACTTGCTATGTGACATGCAAAACACCCGTTTTACAGTTATCAACAAACCATTAACATAAACATACAAACCCTGTTTTATAGTTATTAACAAGTAATCCACATTAACTTATAACACACATGACAAACCGAGAACAGGAGTTTGAAACTGGCAGTCCTCTGAAGGATTTTCTTCCCACCATGCAGTAACTGCATCTGTGAGTCCAGTTACAGAGCAGCAAAACACAACTGCTTCAGCTCGCCACTCAGAAGTTTACAAACTACTGCAAAACCAACGTCAGATCAAGGCTATCACACAAAAGTGAGTGCAACAAAAAATTAAGGTGCAATGTCAAAGTGCTATCAAAAGCTTGTAAAATACGGACATTTCCCAACCCACAGTTTGGCTGGTGTAAGTCACATCGGCACGTAGAGTTTTCCAAAATAAGTTACCAGAAGTATACTGGGAAAGCTTTCAAACTTCAGACTTAGCTAAACAGAGCATAGACATCACCACGACTAGTAGCTTTGGCCTTCCAACAGCTAGTCAGAAAGTTGCCTGGCAGTTGCCAACATGCGGATTTCTCAAGTCCACAGTTCTCACCAAGGGCATCTGACGGTATGAGAACCTGTGCACTGTTTTTTCCTGAAGACACGGTCTCTAATTCCTAACGCAAAGGAAACACCACGGTACCCGCATCCAGCAGCTACCAAGGATGTGCTGTTTTTCCTCTACTACCAAAAAAGCTGGCAAAACTCTTTGTTTCCTCTACAGCACTACCCGTAAGAACTGCCAGGTCAGAGAACAGATTGAACTAAACTACATGTAATCCGTCCAATGTCACTGCACCACTCAGTGACAACTTTTTCTAGGCTGCGTTGACTCAAAAGAAGACGGGCTTCCTCAGGAAAACCCTTTAACAGGTCTGTATTCAAGGGCAAAAAGTAAAACAAATATGCAAACTGCAAACATACTTAAAGCCATTAAGAGCAGGCGAGAAGTAACAAAAACGTTCTAAGCTTTCACTAATCCTAGCAAAACACTCAAAAAAGGTTCCCATTCTCTCTCCCTGCTCTCAACAACATTCCAGATTATTACAGAAGGAGGAAGTCAGTTCGGAAGGTTTTACAGCAAGTCTCTACAGGACACAGTAGCTAACGTTCCTTTACCCAGTTTATTTTCTGCCTTCATCAAAAACAGACCTGCAGCTTGAGTTTCTGATTGGCCTGACAGGAGACAGCACACAGCAGCAGCTTGTCCTGTAACTGGATTTATCATACATGAATTTCACCTGCCATACGAAAGCAACACTGCCCCATGCCAAGCATCAGGCAGAGACCCTTAAAAATTAAAAAGCTGCCTTCATTCTCAAGTATCACATAAAGCAATCTTCCTCACAGCAAGTTTCTTGAGGAGGAATGGCTTAGGGTGGGAAGAATTCAAGGTGCCTCATGCCTCTCACTGACACACAACCGACATACCGTTTATGTTTGCAACACAGGCCAACACTAAGCAATTGCAACAGGAACATTCAGCTATACTGTGTTACAGTCCTTAACACATGCACCACACGTTAACTTTTCTAAAAGACAGTCTCAAAAAAAAAGTTTGTAATTTGGCACACATCACACCAGATGTACGCCTCTGGACCAGTCACTGCCAACTGCCATGGGATTTGGGTTGGCAGGGGCATTAAACTTCCCCCACTTAACAGCAGCATTTGAACTCCGCGACAGCGCTGCTCCTGCTAATTTCGAAACCGACCCAGAGCACGTTATCACCCCCGACGCCCTGCAGTGCCGCAGAGCAAATCAGCCACCGCCCCGGCTGCACTCTCCAAAAGCACGCCAGGCCCCCGGGTCGCTTTTAGGTTTGCAGCCTCCAGGTGAGC